AGGGAATAGCAGGGAGAAGATGAGCGCAAATGTTGGAGGTATTTTCTTTGACACACACAGACAGATTACATATTTAGTGTCGGTATACACAGACAGATTACATACTCAGTGTCAGTATGACAGACAACTGAACAATCCTCATATATATGAGTTAATGTATGTGTCTATTAATGTTGTTAATGTATACCCACGAAGGTGTATTTGATGTAAACGCAGATGTTGGAGATATTTTCTTTGATATACAAAGACAACTTACATACTCGTGTCGGTATGCACAGACAACTGAAAAATCCTCATTGAGAATACAACTCAAAGTAATTTTTGTTTTGTTTTATACTATTTTGAAATAAAATTTTTCAGGTCATTGAGAACAAGAAATATTTAAGTGAGAAATATAGGTAGGCCATTTAAGAATCACATAGTTATAAAAATACAGCCACATTTCCATATAGTAGTTGGTGGACTAAATATATATTTCATCCAACATTTTATGAAAAATTGATGAAAACATTCATACACTATTTTAATGTATATTATTTATATATACCCTACTACTATCATGTATACCTACAAAGATTATTGTCCTGTCTATGAATGAGTTAAGGTAAAATAATTATTTGATTATGTGAACAGATGGAGATAACATTGGTGATGAATGTGAACACATTCCAGAGACAGGCATGGAGTTTCCTACAAAAGATGCACTTTATGACTTCTACAAAAAGTATGCCAAAAGTGTTGGCTTTCCTGTTAGACACCGCACTTCAAAGAAGGATAAAGAAGGGAACTTGATCGCGTTTGTAGCAGAGTGCTCACGTGCAGGCAAAAGAGGTAGTAGGTCGAAAAACTGTTTGAAACCTCAACCTTCCATGCAAAATGGTTGCCTAACGAGGATAAGAGCAAAGACTTATTATGCCTGACCCGCAATAACATATGGGCGGACTTGGGTTACGGTATAGGCCTGTTTGGGGCCTCGGGCCGATAAGCCCGGCCTATTAGATTTAGTGTGTGTGTGTGTCCAATACCCTAACGGACCACACTAACACACACACACACACACACTAACAGACACACACACACACTAACAAACACTCAATTAAGTCCTCGAATTATTAAAAAAAAGTTCAATGAAGCCCTTTTGGTCGGTAAGTAACCGGTTTACCGGTTAAACGATGACGACGGCGACGATGTGCTCGAACCCCAACAACGGCGGCTGCCGGGAAACGGGTTACATTTAACCGGGAAACCGGTTACTTACCGACCGAAAGGGCTTAATTGAACGTTTTTTTTAATAGTTCGAGGACTTAATTGAGTGTTTGTAAAGTACGAGGGCCTAATTGAGTTTTTCGATATAGTACAGGGGCTTATTTGATAGTTTTCCCATTTTAAAATGAAAATATTTTTTGGTTTATCTTTTAAAACTCGACCTTTTATCAATTTGTTAAAACAGAACAATCTAGCCTCTTAAATCTTTTAACTTTAAAATGGTTTCAAATGTTTAGTTTGATTTATATATTCAAACTTGCCAACTCAAGAACATTTGGTTTACTTTTAAGTTTTTATGTCCAATGTTTTAAATTTTTAGTCGTTTGGTTTCTAAACAATTTTGTTTCCTAATGTGGTTTTTTGGTTTGAAGATCATCATGTAACTCCTTGGATTCATAGTGTTTGATGCATACCAAACAGAAATGCACTATAAAGCGTTTATCTAGAATCATGTCCAGCCAATTATGTGCATACACACCAATCGAATGAACAATTGTATTACCAAGACATTTCCTTAGTCTAATTTAGTTCTTCTGTTCTTCTGAAAGAAGACAGAATCAGCTAAATTCAGTTTGACACCTACCCATTTTTCTACTCCAAAATTTGACCAATTGAGTATTACTTTGATCAAGGAACAACAAAGACTTAAGTCAAACTGATGTAAAAAAAGCACATGCATATGTTTTTAGGCTCATATTTCCCCAAAGTTTTCAATACTCTTCTAATTTTGTACTTAATTTATATACTAAAATTTCAATTTAATCTTTTTATATTAACGAAATGCAGAACACTAGGGTGTTAAGTATGAGTGTATGACCCATTGAGCAAAAAATTGATTTCACAATGACATGGTTTAGCATTTCGAGTTAAGAATACCGGTTTAAATATATCTTTTTTTGAATGGTTTATTTGTCTAGGTGCTATTTTTATGATTTGGACTGGACTGCATCTTATTGGCTCACTTTCAATTGCTTGATCAACAAAATCACAGATTTTACAAAAAGCGCACTACAAGTACAACAAGTTCCTGTCGCCATCCTATTACTCTTGCGTTAACAGTTCGTGATTTTGTAGCATTTTTGTAGCATCTGTGGATGTATATGACCATTTTCCATCCATTTTCACAAAGTGCAACTAAGATGTATTCATCCATCTTCAGATGGTTATATCCCAAAATGCTACACTTTATGCTACGTAGTACATTTTACACTCCCAAAATGCTACACTTTATACACTTTTTTTGTGTATAATCATACGTGGACAGAAAATCTTAGCATTAAAGTTAGTGATTTTAAGGATCTTTATACAACTAAGTAATTGTGGTATAAACCGAAAATGGTTTCATAGATTAATCACACTTTATGAAGTAATTGTGCCTCGTATGAAAAAACAAGTGTTTTTGGTTTTTCAGTTTTCTAAGATTTAGTGATTTTAGTCTCATGAAGCAAGTGTTTTTAGTGCAAGTGTTTTACGGTTTTAAGTTTTTAGTGTTTTAAGTTTTTCACTTTATGAAGTAAGTGCTTTCAGTGTTTTTGGTTTTTCACTTTTTTAAGATTTAGTGATTTTAATCAAAGAAGAGCTTCTCCTAACATCGAATCTCAGCTCTGAAGAGTTTATTAGATCTCAGTGTATTTGTTTGATTTTTTATATTGTTTCATAAATAACAAGTGCATAAATTGCATAATATGATTGGGCAAATAAAATGCATCTATCATCTCATTTATATAATTTGTTTCAACGTCATCTCTAGGATTTGCTATTGGTGTAAAAGTCATTTAACGGAAGTGATAGATGTTTTAATGGAGTACGGGTACATAAGTCAATGTGAAAAGTAGAGTAAAAACTTTTAAAATCAATGTACAATCTCTTATGCATACAATGTATAGTATTGACATAATTGAAAGGTACAAACCTTTGTTCACAAATATAATGTTTTTAGATTAGATTTATTAGTTCATTTGATCAAGTTGTCTTTTGGTCATTTTTATGACCAGTGCCCAACTTCACATTGATATGTATTGTCCAGTACTGGCTCTTTTAAAAGATAAAGAAGTCATATTTGAGAGTGGTGCAAGTCTTTTAGTTTTTAATTTAAAATTAGTCTTTTAAATAATAATACACCCTCCGTCTCATTGAAAAGTTTTCGACTACTATTCTCCGGTGAATGTGAATTGTTCTTAATCTTTTACTCCGTACTTTATATATCTAACTTTTATCAGATTTAATTTTCTTAATCAGGTATTATAAAACTTTTAAGAGAAAAGGGCCAAATAGGACCTCATACTATCCTGAAACCAATGTTCTAAAAGGCGTAAGGCGTGCCGAGGCGGCACGTCCAAGGCTTAAGCCTTTGGAGCCTAGGCGGGCTTAGGCGGGGATTAGGCGAGAAAAGGCGTGTGTAATTTTTACTCTTTTATTTAATTTTCTAGAGATATCAGTATTTATATAAATGTGATGTGTGATAATATCATACAAAAATATCATATTTTAATTTTCCTACAAAAAAATACTAAAGTTTTACAATTTATAAATTTATATACTCCCTCTATCCCGAAAAGGTTCGCCAACTTTGACTTTCACGTGGATTATTAAAGTAAAAATTGTGTGGTTGAAATTTGTGCAGAAAAGAGATAATTAACTTTAGCCACATATTCTTTACTTTAAATGAAAATGACAAATCTTTTTGGGACATCCAAAAAAAGGAAATTTGGCAAACCTTTTCGGGACAGATGGAGTATAAAAAAAGAGACATAGTGAAACATTGATATAGCCACGAAGGCTGAAAAACTAGTTGAATAATAAAATAATTGAAGTAAGAGGTTTAAAATAATAATAATAATGATGATAAAGAGTTTTTTTTTAAAAAAATATTACTTAAGTAAAACTTATTTATAAAAATATGACTACATGTTATTTTATTATTATGTCATGTCACTTAAATGTAAAAACTGAATATAAGTTACTACGACTAAAGTTACTACACTTAAATTCATGAGAAAAAATAATAAAAATACCACAAACTTTGAAGGGGTGTGAGATAAACACTCCAAACTTGCATATGTAAGTTAAATATTTCAAACATTATCATTCATCCGTATTTAAGAAGTTTGCCACACTTTCTTTCTTGGGATGTATTTGAAAGTTTGCTACACTTTTGTCTTTAAAAATACTTAATTATGGTGCAAAAACAATTTTTTATATAAATTTTGGGATATTTAAAGTACATATGTAAGTTAAATACTTCTAACATTATCATTCATCCGTATTTAAGAAGTTTGCCACACTTTCTTTCTTGGGATGTATTTGAAAGTTTGCTACACTTTTGTCTTTAAAAATACTTAATTATGGTGCAAAAACAATTTTTTATATAAATTTTGGGATATTTAAATTACATATGCAAGTTTGGGATGTCATCTCACACCCTTTCAAAGTTTGGGACACTTTAATTAATTTTTCCTTCCGTTAAACATTTTTTATATTAGTTATTAATAAGTAAAAATTTCTATCTAATAATAATAATGTAACAATAATAATGTTGATGATTAAAAGACTAGATTGTAATTTGTACAATTTGAGCAAGTTTGATTAGCAATTGTGATTGCAACATCCTATTGTTCCAAGTCTACTGCACGGCCAAGTACTAATTCATTTCCCACACCGGATGTAGTTAACATTTGACATTCCAACATTGCTATAAATTAGAGCTCTTCTCTTATTGTTTGATAGGCAGTAGTCTTCGTTGTTTTGGACGGCTGCCTAGGAGCTTGCTAGTCAATTTTTTGGGCCGCTCTTGTGGGCCGCCAGCCTTTGATCACGCGTTTAGGTGAAGCGGGGCGTTTGGATCACGCCCTGCGCTTAGGCCCGCCTAGGCGGCGCTTTTTCAAGCCTTTTAGAACACTGCCTGAAACCATCAACTAAACCCATCTACTTTAAAAAGGGTCACATTAACACACATAGTATTTGTAAAGAATCTAATAGGTCCAGGTGACCGAAAGGCAACCCAAGCTTCTCGGTTAAATCTGATGTGGACCGGTGGAATTGCCAAATGTGGAATTTTTTCCACGTCAGCCCCGGTTGCATCTAACCGAAGTTACAGGGGAAATTATTTTCGTTCATCAGCTTGCAATCCAAAATTAGGGTTCTCTTGACCTTACTTCCCAATTGATCTCCCATGTCTGGTCATTTGCCAGAAAGTCCAAAGAAACCATTCATGACCGTGAAGGAGACTATCCGCATCTAGAATAGAGCAGAGCGACCATCTTCACGAACTCAGGTAAGTGACCATCTTCATTCCTGGCGTCGTCATTGGTGTCTCCAAGATCATTTTTTTAGAGTTCCAACTTCGATCCTGATAAGAGGGGCTAAAGAAAGACTCCTTTCATGTAATAAAAAAGGTACTTTATATTATTATTCAACCTTTTGTCTGGTGTCTATTTTCAGATGATATGGTCAATTTAATTTCCCAGAAACAACCGAATCATATTCAAGAGGCGGATGAGGTGGTAAAACTATATCATCTGACCAACCAGACTATCACCTTTTGTATGTGAATTGACCATATCATCTGACTACATCATTCCATAATTTAAAAATACAACTGCTCAGTAAAACTGTGAATTGTACTTCCTGAGTAAAACCTCCTTGATAGTTGAATTCATAATACCTTAAATGTAGTGGAAAGTATGAATATATTTTCCTTGGTTTGTATTTATTTTATGTTTAAATAAAATGCCTTACCATTTTCAATTGTATTACTTTATTTCAGAATGTATGAAGTAGCAGAATTGAGAATACATGATGGCGGAAATTTCAAGAGGAAAATGGAGAAGTGTACAGATATGTGCCGGTTGAATCAGAGGAAACATCTGTACTTCAAGAGGAAAATGGAGAAGTGGACAGAGATAGAACTCCAGTGATGCAGTGTGACAGTGAAGATCTGGGTTGGGTAAAGAACAACTCAAATAGGGCAGATTTGGACACTGAATGTGGGGACGATGACGATTGCAGCGTTTATAATGACTCTGATGACCCCTCTTGTTCTGTAGCCGACTCTGAAGAAGAGGACTGTGTTTCCGAGGAACATCCCAAACGGAAGAAGACATTGAAGAAGCCATCTTATGATCCTAAATGTGAATCACAGGAGCTGGAGGTCGGAATGTTATTTGATGACGGGAAACAATTTAAAAGTGCCTTGATCAAGTATGCAGTGATGAATAAAAAGGATGTAAGATGGATTAAAAACGAGCCTCTTAGAGTTCAAGCAGGATGTTCGACTAGAGTTCAAGCAGGATGTTAGACTAGCAATACAATGATAAAATAGCAGTACATTGCCATAGCTATTGTTCATATAATGGCCTTTTTGTAATATGTATTTGCCATGTATTGATTGTCGTATGTTAATTTTATATGGTGCATTTGCAAACTTGTTGTTCAACCTGTGAAGGAACCAGGGAAGGCAGGGAGATCAAAGCTGTTGTGTGTTCAAGTTTATTTATATTTTTGGTCCCAACCAGCCCTAGCTTTTGCTAGTAAAAGTATTAAGACTAGTAAAACCTGCTGGGCTGGAAATTATATTAAAAATTATTCATATTAAAAGTGTTTACTGTTTGAAAAGCATTAGTCTGTGTGATAATAATAGCCTAAATATGAAGAAAAACTCAACTAAGGAGAATAACTTTTGCTTCATGGTAAGGAAATTATCTAGAGGATATAAACGAAAATAGTTGGTTTTGAATTACAGTCCTCTGAGTTAGCCTTTATGTCATTTATGTCCTTTTAAAAAAAAATCACTGCATCTTTAATTTGCTCTAATTAATTAAGAAGTATAGTTGCATACATGATGACCAAATAGGTTCAAACTGCATATCAAATTGAGTCAAGTGGGTCTAACTTTAAATGGGGAAAAAATTCTTGTTTAGAATAAAGGAATATTTCCTAGTCCAGAACCAAATTAAGTCTAAACATTAATAATTGAAGTCCAAATTGTGTAGTACCCGTCATCAAGGGACATAATAAGGTATTATTATCTCTTTATTTTCTCCTCAAAGAGCTGCATCTTTTTTCTGGAACCTACTACTGTTTCATTTTACTTCTAGTTTATGGCCTTCACACTCTCTGCCAACAAATGCCAAACTGGCCTGCAACTTCTTCAAAGGGTAGCTGATCTCTGTAATTAATACACACAACACCACTCATATTATTTGATTTTATAGCAACATCAGCCCCATCTCTCATTTTAGCCTTTTTAACCATCCAAGCAAAGTACGTTAAAAAAACCATCCTAGCAAAGTGCCCATCACATTTTAGAGCAAGATCAGTCTCACATATCAAACATATACCAACTTAGATCACATCACATTTGCAATTGCACATCACATTTAAAAGACATAAACTTGATAATAAACTTCAAAGGTCAACAATAATGGTACATTACATGTCTTTCATAGTCATTACATATTAAATAACACACTTCAAATGCTATTAGGATGCTCTTAATGTTCTTGTTTTCCTCAATTCCAGATTCCAATGCTGCTTTTAAATGATCTACTTGAGATGTTAACTTCAAAATCAGTTTCTCAACCTCCTCACAGCAATGCACTGGATCGGATTTCCTCTGTTTTTGAATTTCCATATCCTCTTTCCAAGCAAAGTATCCACACCCTGCTCCTTCCTGCATTAATTTAGAATGAATTCTTTCAAAGTGCACACATTAATTCAAACTTTGAATTATCATTTGAAGGTCATTTAAACACCAATTGAGTTTTGAAATACTACCAATACTTGTGTTTAATTAAAGGATAATTGGATGGAGCCTAGATAAATGAAAAAATAAAACTTAATACGCCCAGTTTCTCTCATCACGCACAAAGGTGCTTTCAAACCGCAATTACAGTATACTGGAGGTTCGTAATGAAGATTTGGACCCATCTTTCTAACTTTTGAGACGAAGGACGTAGAAGACATCTCAGGCGCCAAACTTTTACACTGGGCGACGAAGAACTTGTCGTTGGTTAAGAACCCTAGCTCTGAACTTCACAACAGAGGATGAACAATTGTAAAAAAAGAGTCATTATGAAGAAACCTTAAATGACGTGTAAAAGACTCCACATTTGGCTAAATAGTTGTCCACATAAGCATTCACCGGTAGCTGCAGGTTGTTTTTCGGTCACCTGGATGTAAATGGTCGTTTTTTATGAGTAGGGGAGCTGTGGTGACCCTTTTTAAAGTAGATGGGTTTAGTTGACCGTTTCGGGATAGTAGGAGGGTCTATTTGGCCCTTTTCCCAACTTTTAATATAGTGTTTGAATTGTAAGTTTTATTTTACATAATATAATATTATTAATGATATGGATTAGTTAACTTTATAAATTACGTGAGAACCTTTATGTAGTTGGACGGAGGGAGTATTAGTCTTTCAAATTACGGTGACAATGATTTAGAATTACTTTTTTAAATAATAGTATTAGTGCATATATGCAACTACTAATTACATGTAACTTATTCACCAAAAAATTGATAGAATTTAATTTGTAACTTTATTAGTGAGGCTTTGTTATTTGTTTTGAAAATATTTTATTTAGAATTATATTGGTACATAAAGGGTCAATTTGGTCCTCGAAGTTGCAAAAAAGGGGTCAAATAAGTCCTTATATAGAAGATTCTGTCCGGACGTGTCATTTGAGGTGGCTCCCGGTAGAATTTTTTGATGAACATTTTCGAGCATCTTATTCATTGAGTCTAGTTTACTCATACCAAATTTCAGCTAAAAATTCAATCGGGGAGACATTCAAATGAATTCTTGAAGATTACTGCGCTTTTAACGGCACAGTCATCTTCAAGAATTCATTTGAATGTCTTCCCGATTGAAATTTTATCTGAAAATTTGGTATGAGTAAACTAGACTTAATGAATAAGATGCTCAAAAAATATAATCAAAAAATTCTACCGGGAGCCACCTCAAATGTTACTTCCGGACAGAATTTTCTATATAAGGACTTATTTGACCCCTTTTTTGCAACTTCGAGGACCAAATTGACCCTTATCCCCGTTCAATAGTTATCGGATAATAAACTAGAAAGCATTCACACGAGACTAGATCATTGAAATCTTATTTAATTCCATATTTTTAGGAGAGAACACATTTCGTAATTCAAATGACAAGTTTTAGTGGTTCAATGAATACGATTTGCATCTGGCCACATGACACTCTAAGCTTTAATGACACTCTAAGCTTTAATGGATGACAAGTGCTGTGTAATTGCCTAACAATCATTTCATATTGTCATATTTTATTCGAAAAGATAAATGTTCAGAACTATTTTTGATTTTATATTGTCCTAAACTCTTGATTTATTTTTTCTTTAAATAAAGTGATATTTACTGGATATCAATCACTATAGATATGTGTTTGTACGATATGACTTGAAAAATGTAACCTTTTCATATATTATGATTTAAGATACTTAAAACTGAAAAAACTCAATTCTTACCAACACCGAGTTTTGTGGATGATTGCTCACCTAGATTGTATGATAATTGAGCTGAGAGTATATCTGTTAGCTACATTAGACAACCATATACATCTGTTAGTTGCTATTTGTTCAATCTATTTTTCGCAATTTCTTATTCTAGAGCAATCCAATTTATTTTTTTTATTCCATGGTTATTCTTACTCCAACCATGAATGAAGTTGATGAGATAAACAATTAAAAGTTGGGTTTGATAGATTCATAGTTAAAAATTTACCTAAGCTCAGATTCAGCTTCCTATTCTAGCTCATATAGTGACGTCTTACATGGGATATATTCTCCTGAATTTCTTAATCGCATTAAATCTCAAGGTTTGCCGAGTCATAAGCTAAAACTGATGACTCAGGGTTCCTTTGATGCTTATGAGGAATTTAAATCATTCATCTTGATTGTGCAGCAACATAAAACTTGTGATTAAACTCAGAGCCGGCTATATGGGGAGTTGGCCTAGGGCCTCATATCTATAGAGGGCCTCATCTTTTAAAAAATTTCTACGTAGTAATCACAAGGCATATTGGGTTCTTCTGATTGGTTAATTCGTTGGATGTAAAGAACGGTGATAGTCTGGTACCTCAATTCCGAAAAGTAAAAATGGAAAGAGGACATATCCATCATCCATTATATCTTGTAAGTTGCTGTCTTGCCTTGCTGTTATTATTGTTTATGGGCATTATGGCTTTTAATTTCTTGTTGGTAGAATGTTTCTTTTGGATTGGTTTTAGTCCTAGCCCAGACCAGAACACATTGGACCAGACCAGATTAGACTTTCTTAGTTATAAAATACATAGAGACCAGAAATTTAGCAGATCAAACAACACCAGTTTAGACCAAATCAAACTAGACCAGACTAGCAAATTTCGGTCCAAAAGAAAATATCTTTACTTCAAAGTTTGTAACAATGTGTTAAGTAGTATAAGATGTATAAAATTGTCTCTATTTTAAAAAATAGTACATACTCAAACAGTTTAATTTGTAAAATTATAAGTAGGTGTTTTACTTAATTTGATCTTAAAAAGCCATTTATTTTGCTTGTGATTTTTTTAATTTCATCCTTTGCGTTATTGTTTTATTTGTGAATTTATTAAAAAATAGATAGGTCTTGTTACGACTAATACACGAAAATTTATGTTACATGCAAGAGAGAATATTAAATAATGTTTACATATGTAGGGATTTGATTATAAAATCGTTTGACCGATCTATGAATTGGTACTTTAAAATAGATTTTGATAGGCTCAATATTTAGTGTTTTTTGCCTAGGGCCGGCCTCTACTATCCTCAAGCCGGCCCTGATTAAACTTGGAGCTCATTTTATTGAGGCTTAGATGACGCATGGAGGAAATGTCAGTTGAAAATTTGGTTATTCCTCAACTTACATTAACAACATTAGATGTTAGACTTCCCTTCACTTTTCATCGCAGACAGTTTTCATTAATGATTAACTATGCAATAACCATTAATAAGAGACGAGGATATCTATTGAAAAATGATTACATCTTCCCTAGTCAGCCTACTTTTACGCATGATTAATTATATATGACGTTCTCAAGAGTAATAAGTCCATATGGCTTGAAGTTTTTGATATCTGACGAAGACGAACAACAAAAAAGTTTGCGGTGAATGTTATAAACAAAGAAGTTAATAATAATTTGAAGTTTCCCTTCATAGCATCACAGACATACATATACAACTATTTTATCGTATGATGGTTACATTTAACTTCAAGCATTTTTTATTTTCTATGAAACATTACTTCATATTTTATTTTATTAATTAAATTAATTGATTCATTATCAATTTATGTTTTTTTACTTTTATATAATTCATCTCAACTTTTATGTATGTACTTCATTCCCGTGCAAAGCTCTAGTAGAGTAACAAGTTGTTCTATTAATGTGTGATTGTTTGAGTGTGCCTCTGAAAATTTCAAAGTAATTTCGGACTATAATACTACCTCTATTAAATAGTTGCAACAATAGAAATTTTACACTATTCACACACTTCACTTTGACTACATTTCATATGCATTGAGAATTTAACTTTTTAAAAATAAAATAAAATTCTTTTCATTTTAAAATTTTAAAGTATGATTTTTAAAAATTTTTTACAATTAGGGAATTAAATATATTAATGGTCAAAGTTGTGAATTGAAAACGTGAAAATGAAAGTGTTGCAATTAAAAAAACAGAGGAAGGCCTAATTTTCACGAATTAGCTTTAATTACATATTAAATCGGGTTTCATTTCTAGTTAACTTATAAATCAAGTTAATACATCATGGTATACGCCATATCATTCACAAATAAGCTTTAATTACATATTAAATCGGGTTTTATTTCTAGTTAACTTATAAATCAAGTTACAAACACTTTTGAAAAAAACGGTCCAACTCAGCTAATCGCTGCTTCCTCTCCCCCATACGAGAGGTCTCGGGTTCGAAACTCGGGGTTTCCCCAGCCCTCCTCCCCGACCCCACGGTGTAAAAGTAATACACAAACTTTTGATTTATCAAGTTACATGTTTCAAATTAAGGTAGATACGAGTAGGTAATCGTGGGGTGATGAGAACTTGCAATGGAGTTGCCTTACCACCAGATAGGCCACCGTATTCCGTCATGTCAATCGGCTCATCTGAAGGCCTTCTCACATTAAACCCATGAATAACGTTGGCTAAACCCAATTGCACACTTTCAAGTCCAAAAGAAACTGCAGGACACACTCTCCTTCCACTTCCAAAAGGGATTAGTTCAAAGTGTTTCCCTCTCACATCCACTTCTTTGTGCTCATTTGTCAAGAACCTATCTGGTTCAAATGCCTCAGGATCTGGCCAAGAATTTGGATCGCGATGAATCTTTGACACATTTATCAATAACCGCGTGCCCTTCACGATGCGGTAGTCGCTGATCACGCAGTCTTGTATAGCTTCATGGGGTAACAAGGCGGGTGCTGGTGGATGCAGTCGGAATGTTTCTTTAATCACAGCCTGAAGATAAGTCAAGTTGTTTAGATCAGAGTGGTTGACAAGCCTTTCTTTCCCAACATGCATATCAAGCTCACCTTGGATCTTCTCTAGCACACTGTCATTGTTCAATACTAAAGACAAAGCCCAAGTTAACGAATTTGCAGTTGTCTCTGTTCCTGCTCCCAACAAAGTCTGTCACAAGGAATAAAGCACTCTCTTCAAATTCGAACATGAAAACTAAAATTGATGTACTAATGAAAAAGAGATTCTCAATCATCACAAAGGGTTACAATGATTTTAAGAGGTGTGCACTTTTTATTGAATATTGATAAGAAAAACATAGTAATACTTTTGCATATAAAACAAAATTTTCTAAAATCACAAAAAAGGTATTAACTTAGTTGTAGTGTATTTATGTTTATCCACTTGCATTATACACATTTTTTACACATATGTTTAAAAAAACATAGCAATACTGGGGTTCATGTTATGAAATGTCTGTGCTTTTTTGTTATGAATTAATAGTCAGTTCATGTTATTTTCGATGCGTTTTTCACAATGGGTCATCGGGAAATAGTCTTTTTGTACTTCAGTACAAGGGGTAAGGTTGTGTACATCCGGTCCCCTTACTCACATAGTCACATGGTGGGAGCTTTACTCCACTGGGGTAATGATGATGAAGATGTTTAAAAAAACATAGCAATACTTTTGTGATACTAAAATGTATATTGCATCAATTTATGCAAGGGGAAAAGTGAAAGGTACCGTGCAAGTTGCTTTGACAAGTGTATCAGCATCAAAACCATCCACAGTTTCTTTTCCACAATCAAAATGGCAAATCAATGTATCCATGAAGTCCTCTTCCTCCTTAGATTTCACCCCCTTTTCACTCTTGTGTTTCTGAAGCAGCCTCTCCATAAGATTGTCCATCTCCTTGGCAGCACCTTTCATCTCCTTCTCATAACCTCCTATGTCCATCCATCTCAGCCATGGCAGGTAATCACCCACAACCTGGGCACCCATAAGGCTAAAGAATTTCTTCACCGTCGCCACCGCCCCGCTCCAATCTTCCTCGTGCATCTCCCCGAAGAGTATCCCGAACAATACGCCCATCACTAATTTCCAGTACCACTCCTTCATGTCAAGTATCAGAAAAACGTCATCGGATTCGGACAGACCTTTCTTCCGGGCCGTCAGCCAGGCCCGAAAGATGTCCCGGACGAATTTTTCCGATGCCGATTCCCTGACGCGCCTGAGCGCGTCAGAACGGCGGTTGGACAGCAGCTCCAGCACAACGACCTTGCGGATTTCCCGCCAGAGCGGGCCGGCCGGGGCGAGCGCAAAGCTGGCGTAGTTGGAGCCGAAGTGCTCCGAGGAAATCGCCTTTGGCCGGCCCGAGAGGGCGGCGTCGTGGACGGTGAGGCATTCTTTAGCGATCCGCGAGTCGCTCACCACCACGAGCTCGCGGGCGCCGAGCCTCAGCCGGAATATAGGGCCGTATTTGTCGGCCATGTCCGCCAAGATTCTGTGGGCTGGCCGCTCATTTGAGGCGAGGAGGTGGAAATGGCCGATTATAGGCAAGGCGAAGCCGGCTGCCGGCACTTTTGGAACAGCATTTTTGCTACGCCGGAAAAATATGCTGTGAATAAAAACGAGGACTAAAAAAGTGGTAGCCAAAACCGCCGCCGCCGTTAGTGGAAAGTTCATGGTTCAATCATAGCCTACAAATTCTAGTAGCGCCACTTACATATAAAGCAATTCTTTTGGACTGAATGGTGGTTAATCACACAAAAAGTAGCTTAAAATGAAATGAGAAAGAGAAATGTGATTTGGATGAGAGAAAATGGTCAAAATGGTACATGAAATTGTTTCGAAAGGCGTAAATCGTATCTCGTCGTATATTTGAAAATTTAAAGTACATGAACTTGTATTTTTAAAGTATATCTATTTTGTGGGAACATTAAAATAGTTGATCTGGTCAAACTATTTGTTTGTTTTTATACAGTTGCAGTCCAAGTCATCAAATAATTAATCTATAAACTCTATTTTTCCTCTGGTCCACCCATTTTCAACTTCGTTTTTCATCTTATATTTTTATCGTTTGTTCTCCCATCTCTCTGCTCTATATTTTATATTTCTCCCGTCTGCTCTACCTGCTATTTTGTCGATTTTTTTTTTATTTGCCCGGCTAGGGGCAAAGCTATAGCAGGGCCAAATTAGGTCCTAACTCACCCCAAATTTAAAAAATATTTTAATTTTAAAGTAAAAATTACTCTTTAGGTGTAATATTTTCCTAAAAATATTCTTTGTACTGGTCCAGTCCGGTCCAGTGCCCTGGCTCCGCCCTGGGAGAGCAGATGAGAGAAATATAAGATGAAGAGCGGAAAGAAAGGAGAGCAAACGTGAGAAATATAAGATGAAGAGCGGAGGTGAAAACGAGTGGATTGGCCGGAGAAATTTAGAGTTTATAAATTACTTATTTGATAACTTGGACTGCAACGGTATATTACAAATTGATACTTTGGCGAAATCAACTATTTTAACGTTCTAACAAAGCAAATGTACTAAATCGACTTTAAAAATGCAAGTTCATGTATTTTGTAGTTTCAAGCAATGTTCTAAAAGGCGTAAGGCGTGCCGAGGCGGCACGCCCAAGCCTTAAGCCTTTGAAGCCTAGGCGGGCTTAGGCGGGACTTAGGCGTGAAAAGGCGTTTTGATTATTTATCATTTATTTCAATATTCATAAAAATATTTTTAAATATTTAAATATAAAAATAAATAATGGTATTCAAAAACATCAGATTGTTCTCATTTTCGATATAAAGGTTTTTGTCGAGTCCTAAATCTAACAAATACATAGTATAAATTCACTAATTATACAAAAACTTGATCTGAAAAGGTAATAAATATACACATGTAATGCGGAATATACCACGTAAAAGCACCAGACTTTTACATTTTCGGACAATACAATTTTGAAAAACTATCAATGACTCATTATATATGCATCTACTATACAACAAGTAAGAAATTGTAAAATACGATATTGATAATGATAATACTAATAGCAATATTAAGTACGATAGTATATTATTTCAACAAACAAGAGTAAAAATAATAATATAACAGTAATACACCATTACTTTTTAGTAGAGATAATACAATAATGTTAATTATTTTTAATAAAAATGAAGTGATTGAATTGAAGTTTATAGTTATATAATATAAGCAAAATAATACGGAGTAGATGTAAACTCAAAACTAAGAAATAAAGAATGTAAGCAAGCATATAGGTCTAATTCTAGTACGGAGTATTGCTTTAGTGTTCCCACACCGGAAAGGATGAGATGAATCCTCCTCCTGACTGCCTATATATTAAGTCATTCATCGGAGGGTTAAAATTGCCAAGTAAAGGCTAGGTAGCTGCGCTGTGCACGTGAGATTAAATGCGGCCCAACAACTTTTAGTTAAATTTTTGTTTGGGTTTCAAAGGCTTAACACGCCTTTTAGCACGCCTCGAGGTGTGCGGGGCGTTTGCTGTGCGCCTTGCGCATATGCGAGCCTATGCGCCGCCTAATAGAGCCTTTTAGAACACTGGTTTCAAGTGTAACATGGAGTACTACTTACTCCACTTGAAACAACTTCATGTACAATTTTGATAACTTTCTCTTTTGGGACATCCAAAACTTAAGTGAAAAGAATTTTATGGACAAATGGAGTATTTTTCTTAACTTATACTCTGTGACTTTTTTATCATGTATCGGTTAAATCGGAATCGGAAACGGAATCACCAGTTTTTAACCATAATTTGAACCGTAAGTGGAAGTGCGGAATCCCATAGTACTTCCGATTTGGAGCTAGAGGTTTACTAGTCCGGTTCGGTTTCCTCAAAATTTGGAACCGGTAGTTCCGGTTGCTGAACCGGCAATTCCGAATGCAAAACCGGACGATTCCGGTTCGGACCCCTTTTTTTTAATTAATTATTTAATAATAATATTAATAATGCTATAATTATAATAATAATAATAGTAGTATTAATTGTACTAATAATAGAAATAACAGCTATATGGGTTAGTAGTTACTACTCTTAGTTATTACTATACTAGTTAAATTATATATTTTTTTTATGTACCAAAAAAAAAAGTTAAATTATATTTTTTTAAATTCTTAGTAATAAGTATCCATAATTTATTAATAACCAGATTATTTTAGAGTAATAGATCGTAGGATTTTACAATCTAATTTATAACTACTTTTTTATTTTTGAAAAAATATAATCCGTAACAAGGACAACAATGTGTGGTCCTATTGTTGGGAAAACTTGAGTTAGATAAGTGATGTGTGATTGATATCAACACTATGAATAAAATAATACCACCTTCATTATAAAGTCAACATTTTTGGGTTAATTAATTCTATTTTATTAATTAAAATCCTTACAAAGTTTCAAAATTCAATCTAAAATTTAATTGAAAATTGATATCCTAATTAAGTAAATAAAATGAATCTATATGGCCAAAAAAAACCTAATTTTGCAACTAAATTTGAAATGGATGAAGTATTTTAAAATGTGGTAAATTGCAACCATTCAAAAAACTATTAATTATGATACATAGCAAATTTAGAGCCTGTTTGGTAACACTGAATCGGCTGATTCTGCTGAAATTTATGAAGTTTTGGCTTAAGTGGCTGTATTGGCTGATTCTGCTGATTTATGAAAAAATTAAATGTAAAATATATTTTATTAATAAAATAAAGAAAAGATTATATGTAAACATATAATCTTTAGCGCATGGTCCTGTACAGTAACTTCAGCCGAAACAGTCAGAAAAGTAACTCCAACCTTACTTTTTTTATTACTACGTATTACACATTTCAGCGCGCGAAATCAAACGTGTTTGGTGAAAAAGTTGGATGATAAGTCTGATAAGGTGAATAACAGTGTTACCAAACAGACTCTTAGTGGGATATATGATAATGATAAAATGAAATAAAAAGATGAATAAAAAAGTAAGTGATCAAATCATTTTAAGGAATTACCCAAAATAGGAGTAAAAGATAATGAAAGTTAAAAATACAATTCATGTTTTAATTTGCCGTATACTAATGCGAGATTATCCTCTAACTCATTCTACTTAATAATGTGTCACGCAAACACTCGTACTACTAGACAAACAATTTCCGGAGTAGTACGTAAATATTCTATTTTTACTTTTTCTTCTTTCTTTTGACTTGCCGTGTTGCCCCTCCCTGTTTCAAAGTAGAGAAAATTGCTCTCCTTATGATCAATTCAAAGGAACTTTACAAAAATAAGATGAGATATTACCCGAAATAGGACTAAAAAGGTTTGAAAATTCCAAAATAGGACTGCCATGTTTTTATTTCCAAAATAGGACTAATTATTGTCATGTTTTGGCAGTATCAGACTTCCAACATGGCAGTTGTTGGGATATTAGGTCCAGGCCCAATATCCATAGGCCCAAACCTGGGAAGAAGCAGCCGGCCCAAGGCAGTCCAAAGAACTCCCGAACGGCATTCGGGATAAAGCTTGTGCTTGGAACATTCCGGGAGACACTTACGCCAAAGTGCCAATGGCCAGATCCCGATCGGCGTTCGGGATACTTCCATAACAAGATGACATCTATGGCAGGGTCCCACACACCGAACGCTTCACCCGAACGGGTAAGCATCAAGTGGAGGCTGCATTTAATGCTGGATAACGGCGGCTACAAGTGGGGGCATGAGTGCTTACATGGCAGAGGGGATAGCCTACCAGATTCGGCCACGTGTCCATATTACCCATCCCCATTTTAGTATAAATACCCACGTTTAGATCATTGTAAAGGGGTTAACATTTTGAGACTCAGAGCTTAGCAATAGATTTACATCTCTTATCTTTGTATTCTCATAATCATCTACCGTTCAGGTAGTTCCAGTGTAATCACATATTTATTGAATACCAGTAAGCTTTTGAGTTGAACAAATATCTCACTGTTTTATATTTTATACACTTTCCAATCCGACCCAATATCCCCACAATATCCAAGGCTTGTGTTGGGCTTTCGGATCTTCGGGACTAAACTTCAACATTGGCGCCGTCTGTGGGAACTTCAAAAAAAAAAAAAAAAAAGAAAGAGAGGGAGAACAATGCTTCCACAAAGGCCAGAGTTATGAGAAATAGTACAGGCCGAACGGCATCACCACCAACTCAGCCGAAAAGCCTCACCTCGATCGATAGATACCACTTGTCTCGATCCATGGGGAGCCACCATCTCAAAAAAAAAAATGGGAGATGGTGTAAAAGATCCTGAGTAGGACGAACCGGGCGGCATCCGAAAGCATAGGGTGACCGAGCGGGGGATCGGGACTCTGGTCTTAAAATCTTGCCTTGGCCATGCAGCTCGCCCGAACCACGATGTAGTGATTTATTGTGGTGGAACCCGAGCTGTAACCTGGAGGCGAGTCTCCATTTTGGCAGAGAATAAGGGGGAGACCCGAATTGGGAGCCTTATTCTCAATGGTCCAGAATGGACATCCCAACCTCATGATATGGATGACCCCGGACGGTAAAACCGACGGTATGCATCGGAATTATGGGCTTGGAAGATGGCAGACACTACACAAATTGTGAAACTGTCTTGCAGCAAGAGGTGATTGCCTTGCGGATAAGGAAAAACACGGATGATAACCCGAACAGGTTACCTCAGCCTTGGGCCCACCAGGCAGCAGACAGCAAGCATTTAACATTGATGACTTGCGC